CCGCCGAGCAACAACAACTGCTGTGATCCGAATCACAATTCCTGCTCGGAGAGATAGTAACGTCCACCGGGCTGCCCCTCTACGGCGAACATTGCCCATCAACTTTCATCTCGCGGCCACACTGCGAGTGACTTTGGGGGCACCGTGCTCTGACCCTCCAACTGTTCGTGCGGTCGGGCGAGACACGGGGTGTGGTGGTGGTGTCACAGAATCTCAGCGGTAGCTCTGTGATGTCCACTTCCGCGGGTCGTTCTGTAACACAACACGATGGCGGGTTGCTTCGTGTCGCGACGAGACGCCAATGGCTTAATATTGCTCGGGGGTGAGTAGGGGAGAGGAGGGGTTAGAGGGGAGGGGGAGGGAGTGACGGCGGAAATGACAAAAAATAAAGAAGAGAGAGAGAGAGAAAAGAGACCGTCTTTATTGTACATGTAAAACATTTAAAACGCAGTCCAATTCCATGGGTCACGCAAACAGAACGCGAGAATGACGGACGTAGAAAACCCCTCTCGAGCGATGCGCTGCGTGGGCCCAGCGCGCACGGTCATTGGCACAGCGGCGTCCCTCCCTCCCTTGATTGATTGATTGATTAATTAATTAATTGATGTATTTATTTATTTAATGTTTAACCGGCCACGTGTCTCAGCGTTCAAGCGAGCGGATCGCGATCGGACGGATGCGGGCTCACATCCTGGTTGGTGGTGGAGGAGGGGTGGATGGTTGACTCAGCCCATCATCCCCTACGGGGTCGATAACATCGATTGCACCACTTTGTGGGCGAGTGAGCGGCGGTTGTCCAATGGAAAGACTCCACCCCCGGCCATATGAACGTGGAATGTCCACCACTGGCTCAGCGCTGTAAACAATGCCTCAATGCTCATGTGATGCCACTGACGATTAGAATGAATGACACTGTGCCTGATGATTTAAGCTGCTCCCGTGTTGAAAATCTTCCGTGCGGTGTGAGTCTTGTTTCATTTATCATTTATTACTTTTATTATTTTCTCCAAGACAATAATTTACAACGCGCGTTGTGTCTTTCCGCAACTCGTATATAATGAACACAAATAATAACACGTATTTACAGGCTCACTACAGTATATAAATACAGTATACAGTACTCTTATCCTGAGAGTGGTAGGCATTATTGTAGAATGTTTTTCCTCTCTCGCAGTCCTTCTGCTACGGCTGCTGTTGGTTTATGACATCGATCGACGTTGCCTCTATACGTGTGTGTATGTGTGTGTATGTGTTTGTGTGTATGTATGTTTGTGTGTATGTGTGTGAGTGTATGTTTATGTGTATGCCTGTGCGTATGTACGTGTGTGTATGTTTATGTGTATGTGTGTGTATGTTTGTGTGTATGAATGTTTGTATGTGTGTATATACGTGTGTGTACGTGTCTGTGTGTGTGTATGCGTGTGTGTGGGGAGCGGTAGTGTAGTGGTTTAGCGCGCTGCGTTACGAACCCGGTGACACGATTTCGATTCCCGCTCACGGCCAACACCGGTGACGATTATCTCACCCCGACTCAGTCTCAAATGAGTACTCGATGCAGTGTGTAAAGATCGCCACTGGGGAGACAAAGGCGACCGGGCGTGGTGTTGGCCACCCACCCCCTTGTGTGTCGTTCCGGCCTTCATAGGTGCTCGCTAACAGCACTTGCTTGCCCCAACAGTCTGTTAGAGGCTATGGGGGTATCTTTGCGTGTATGTTTGCTTATATGTGTATATGTGTGTGTTTGTGTACGTGACTATCTTGTGTCTTTGTGTTACGTACATAAACAAGTCTGCGTGAAGGTAGCGACTTGTCGGTTACACATCACGATGGTACGCGAACAGCTCGGGATAATAAATTTGCTACATCGTTTATGTCATCATCATCATCATCATGGTCGTCATTGTCATCATCATCATCATACCGTGACTCATCATCAAACCACGACTCATCATCGTCACAGCCCGGCCACGTGGTTCAGCGGTAGTGCGAGCGGCTCGCAAAGTGGAAAGTTGCGAGTTCACATCCTGGTTAGGTGGGGTGTGTGGGTCGGGTGTGGATAGTGGTGGGGGTTGACTCGGCCCATAATCACTCCAGGGGTCGATAAAATGATACCACTTTGTGGGGAAGTCAACAGTGGTTGTCCTGTGGGATGGACTCACCCCGTCATAGAAACGTGAAATTTATACCACTGGCTGGGGGACTGTGTAAACAGGAGATGAGCACCAAATGCCACAATGCAAGGAGATCACTTTGACATCATCAATGAAATCGCACATGTTGACGTATAGTGAGTTACGTTTTTATATATATATATTAAACAAGAACAAAACTAAATTACTGGCAGTACTGAATTCCCTATGACGCATAATTTATTTTTCAATATCATCATTATCTTCATGGTCATCATACAGAGTATTTTTCATAATGAACGTGTTTGGGTTAGATCGCGTTATTTATAAACGTGTAAATAACGCGATCTAACCCAAAAAACGTTTATTATTAATAATATTGGTCGCGAAAGCCTACGTGTTATACATAGCATTGTGGGCTTCATCCCCACAATGTATGATGCACATCATCATCACGATCATTATAAGGATCATCATCATCATCATCACGATGATCATCATCTCGACTGTCCTTACCGTCCGCTCTGTACGCGTTAAGTGCCACTGCCGTGTGCGCTAATTCCACAGAAGATTCGTCCAACCGCACATGCGTTCAGAACGCTCGCGTGAACCGCGTTAACGATGTCCATTTCCCCCGTGGCTCTCAACACCCCACCGCCGCCCTCCCTTCTCCGCCCGGGCCGCGAACTCGATGCGAGAGTGGAGAGGGTGACAATATCATCAGGCGCGATAAACGGTGTCCTTAACCGAGGGCCGACTAAAGATCCACATCCGATTTTTGTTATGGTGGTGGCGGACATCCGCGCAGGACCACACACAGCGGGCTGCTTCAGCGATTAGAATATTTCCGCGCGCACAAAACGTTTGGAACTCGGCGTTGTTGTTGTTGTTGTTGCCGGCAAGGTTACAAACCAATCCCCCTCTAGTTCCCGATCAGCGCGGCTGCAGCAGGGGTCGGCAAACTTGCGTCTCCGCAGACTCACGCGGCTCTTTGAGGACCCGGCATCGCCAAGGTCATTTGTTAAGGACCACACCGTCTCGTATTCAACGTACATTTGTGCTCGACATTTTTTTTTTTGTACCAGATGCTAAAATAAATAAATAAATGAAAACTGACTCTTCTTGTTGTTATTTTGGTTGCCAACTCCTGGGCTAGAGGATGCTTGCAGTGACCGCGGAGCAAATAGCGTTTAGCGGTGCCATCTCGAAGTGGTCGGGCCGTGTTAAGTGAATCCGCGGGCTGTCTCCAGCCCATAGAGGCGTGGCTTCCCCCAACCCCCACCCCGGTCATAGAGGGCATTCAGAGAGCGATAGTGGAGATGGATCAAATGTGGGTGGGTGGGTGGGGGGGGGGGGCATCTGAATTTTGGAGACACATTCTTAACCCCAAAATCATCTCTCTACAGCCTCGTGCCAGGACACACGTTAATGAACATCGTTCGTAATTCATGAACAAGTTGTTGTATTGTTACGTCCGTGAAATATATAATTGAGCAAGTTACAGTACAGTTAATAGGCGCCTTTTGAGAGAGAGAGAGATATATATGTGTATACCCGCACATGATGGATGATGTAAATGCGTTTTTTAGGTTCATATCACGACCGCCCAATGGTGTGGGCAGGCGATCTCGACATCCAGCAGTGGATTAGCAAAGGATCTGTACACGGTAGTGTCTGTGCTGAGCGCGGCTCTCACTATGCCTGCTGCCAGCGGATAAACCCAACGGAACGCGCGTTGGCAGTAAGCCGTGAAATGTGTTTTGATTCTCACATCTCAAATAAATACGTGGCTTATGAAACAACAATAAAATTTTGACTTAAAGCTTTCGTGACTGCAGGAATTCATATTCTTTGGGTCTTTCGGTAAAGTCACGTAGATGGGTTCAAATTAATACAAATAAAATGAACAAAAAGCAGTCTGCTTATAGCAGCTTTCTCCCTCTGTTTTCCTCCTGGTGACTATCGTTTGTGTTGTGATCGAAACGTCGTAGTTTTTGGTTTATTTTACTTTTATTCATTTGAACCTATTCACGTGACTTTGCCGACAGACCCAAAGAAAACAAACAATAATATTATTACATATAAAAAATAGAACGACAATTAAAACACGTTTAAAAAAAAAGAGGAATATCTCGCCACGGTTACGGTAATAAACCAGCAACAATGTGATTAACTTTTTTTGTATATATAAATATATATTATGGTCCTATCTGACGTTCAGTTGCATTCCGATTTGTGGCGAAATTTCCCACCTCCCCCACACCCCACTTGACCCCCCCTTGACCCCCACCCCTGCCCCCCCCCGAGCCCCGCCCCCAGGAATGCGGTGCGCTTTGTCCCCTCCCCCTGCGCGCTATGATTGCGCAATAACCGTAATATTTCGCCAAAATCAGAAAGGAATCCTCGTTCAGTAAACTTTATGTGTTTCTAAAGAGAGAGAGAGAGCACAGTTTGACGTGAAAGCCACGATAAATATATAGTTAACACAAAATAAAAAATAAATTTGGACCAAGATAAATTAACGGGGATTGAGAGGCGCTGGTGGTCAGACTGTTTTGATGACATGCGTCACGGGCTACTGCTGCTGCTGATTAGAAAAAAGTGTTCTTTAAATTATTAATCGACGCCGAACACGTACAACAAATTCAATAACTTAAAGTCATTTATACAGCGCTTAATTAATCGACGATCCGTCTCACTTCAATTTAATTGAACTAAGAAAGACAACAATGAGAAGCGTAGTGACATTAATTGTAGTCATAGTAATAGTACAGATAAAAGTGCGTCGAGGCTTGGGTAAAGTCTGAACTGCTTCTCGCGCGTCACGCTCACACGTCACCCGCCCCTCCACCTCCCTCCCCTCCACCTCCCTCCCCCTCCCTCCCCTCCCCATGCAGTCACTCTTGGGCAAGAAAGATCGAGATCACCATCATCATCATCATGTGGATCAGAGTCGGGCTCAAAGGGGAAACGCGATAACGCTCTTGGGTCGAACTACACGCGGCACGTGTTCCACACGACTTGTTTGCGTGCAATGTATCGTAGGGATATCGCTAAGAATATCGTAAATGGAGTCCAACGTTTGTCCTTCAACTTGTGCCGTTCGTTACGTGTTCAACTTTGTGCTCAGTCAACAGGGAGGTGGGGGTGGGGGGCAGGGGGGACGTGGGGGGTCAGCGACAAAATCACATTTGTGCCGAGTTCAGCCGGAGCAGAAACGTTCCTGACCAACTCATTCTACCTCCTCCATCATCACCACCACCACCATCACCACCACCATCGCTACAAACGGACTCCAGCACGACTACTCCTGGCGTTCGGTGGCAAAACTCGTTGGGCGATTGATTATTGGTGGCTGTTGATGTGGTGGCTGTTGATTGACGGCTGCTGAGTGACGGCCGTAAGAGTGGCGGCTGTTGATTGGCGGCCGTTGATTGGCGGCCGTTGATCGATTTGGTGACGGCCGATTGGTGGCGGCCGCTGATCGGCGGTGGCCGAGGTCTGTCGTGCCGGGCCGCAGGGCCTCGCCGGCGGCCTCTTAGAGACCCAGGGCGGCCGCGTGCTTGCGAGCTTTGAGTCGCAGGTCGGCGATGCTCGAGTTCTTGGTACTCGTTTTAGCGGCCGCGGCGGCGGCGGCCACCGCCGAGGCGGAGTCGGCGATGCTGGCGAGCGAGGGCAGCCCGAAGGGCGGCGGCGGGAACATCATGTAGGGAGCGTGTGCGGCGAGGTGCGAGTGGAGGTGGTGGTGTGCATGGGCAGCAACTCCCTCCAATTGCAATTGCGCCTGTACCTTCATCAGGGGGGGGGGAGGGGCGATGGAGTCGAGGGTGCGGAGGGGGGGAGAGAGAAGCGGTGGCAACGTTGTTGTTGTTGTTGTTGGCAGGCTGTAACTTTCGCACTGCTGTTCATAGAAGTAAATGAACCGAACTCTTTCCCCTCCGCCACACCCGAGGGGCCCAGTTGCACGCGACTGGATCGCTCGCACGCGGTCGCCTCCGCAACCCGTTGCGGAGTAATTGCGCTGTGCAGCGTGGAACGACTTTTTAATTTCAACGTAGAATGAGGGACGATGCCTTCCGCCAGCAGTGGCGTGGGCGAACATTTGCAGGGCTGTGCCCTCACCCTGATACTTGTCGATGTGTGTTCGTGTGGGGAGCGGTGGGTGTAGTGGTTAGCGCTACGCTGCGCTACGAACCCTGCGTCCCGAGTTTGATTCCCGCTCACGGCCAACACCGGTGACGATTATTTGAACAGGTCCTGGGCTTCCCCCAAGGTCGACTCAGCCTCAAATGAGTACCTGGTGCGGTTGTGTTAATATCGCCGATAGGGAGACAAAGGCGGTCGGGCGTGGTGCTGGCCACCCACCCCCTCGTGTACCGTGCCGGCATTCATAGGTGCTCGCTAACAGCACTTGCCCCTACAGTCTGTCAAGGCCACACGAGGGATCTTTTTCTTTGTGTGTCCCTGTGTGTGTGTGTGTGTACAGGTGTTCCGTGTGTGTGTGTACACGTGTTCCGTGTGTGTAGGGTTACCTGTTGGAAGGGCATTCTCAGAGCGCCCATGTTGACGTAGGGGGCCACGCGGCACGCCTCCAGGTGACTCGTGGTGCCGATCAGAACTCCTGGGCGACAGGCGGTAAACACTAATAATAATAAACAAATATATCACACACACTCCCGTTTGTTTATGCAGGAGAACGTGGGTTCGATCCCGATCCTGACGCCTGCTATATATTGGGAGTTTGCGTGTCTCTCTCTCTCATCATCATCATCACAGTGGCTAGGAGATGTTAACTCCTCCTATACAGGAGGTCGTGGGTTCGAACCCGGCCCTGACGCCTTCTATATATTGGGAGTTTGCGTGTCTCTCTCTCTCTCATCATCATCACGGTAGGTAGGAGATGTTAATTCTCTCTCCTGGTTTACAGGAGGTCGTGGGTTTTCCGATTTTTTTTCCTCCACGATTAGAGTATTTGGCTGCTATGAATTTCCATACGATGACAAGCCACTAAGTTAGGCTATCATTTGTGGCAAGGTCGCTTCTGAAAAAGAACCATAATGCTCGGTGGGCCTTACCTGGTCAAATAAAAAGAATATAAATAGTTGAAAGCTTAGTTTTTAACAAATATACATATTGCAATGCTTAGCTTCACATGTCTCTGTGAGCCACCAACCCTCACTTCTAATAATTACATCGATTTTAAAACATGTCCTGGTGCTGCGTTGGCAGTGGGGCACAAGCATAATCAACAACAGAAACTCAACACTTTCGTCAATAACAACAACAATACTGTGGCCTTGAAATGAAAAAAAATATATAACAGGCGACGTTTCGGGCAATGGTCCTTCATGGCACATACAAAGGCCAGAGAGACGAAGTGGATGAGTGTTAGAGACTGCCCTCTACACCGTAGAAAGACCTGATAAGAATAACATAATGTTGTTTTTTATCTCCCAATTTTTAAATTGGCATATTAATAGCTACCTATTGGTAGCAGTTATTACGTGGTAGATTTTTGCGTGGCGGTGATACTGACGATCCTCTTTAGGCACCCAGGAAAGCCTCGCTGAGTCCGAGGACTCGTTTTCAGGAAGGAGGAGGGGGGGTGTTGGTCCTTGCTACATTGCGACGTTCTATAACCGACCCCATTCATTCCATCGCCAACTAGAGTTTGGTGGCGTCTGCGTGGGAAAAGACGGGAGAAGCTCAGACACAACCCAGCACCTCGCTGCGGCATATGGGAGGGTGGTGGGGTGGGGTGGGATAGACGCTAATCAGCGCTGTCACCTCCTGGCCACACCACACAGCCACGAACCTACAACACCTGGGAAGCACCGGCACGGATCGTGTCCGAGCGAAAGCGATATCGTGGCAGCCGTGAAAAACTTGACATGCGACCCGCGCGCCAAATGAATTATCAGCGATCACAATTCAAAACGAAAACTTTAAAAAATATATATATATTTTACCAGGTAAAGCCCGCCGACCTATCCAGCTCTTTTTTCAGAAGCGACCTGGCCACAAATGATAGTTCAACGATGTGGCTTATCATCATCACGTGTAAATGTATCGCAGCCAAATACTCTAAGCGCGTGTTTAAAGACGTGGAGGGGGAAACCGGAGGACCCGGAGAAAAATCCGTGGGGAGAGCATGCAAACTCCAAATATACAGCAGCAGGCGTCAGGGTTAGACTCGAACCCACGACCTCTTGCATACCAAGCGAGGGAGTTAACATCTAGAATATTTAGAGAATTTTGCTGATATAAATTTCCATGTGACAAGCCACTTTGTTGAGCTATCATTTGTGGGTAGGTCACTTCTGAAGAAGCGAATAGTTCAGTGGGCTTTTACCCGGTTAGATAAAAACAGTTTAGTTGTATCTGTATATTTAAGTAATTTGTATACATTTCCTATACTTTGCACTCCTGTCGTGCCTTTATTGTAACGTTCTGATCCGCCGCTACTGGACAGCTGTAAGAAAAGAGCTTTATAGCTCATCGGATTCCTCCAGTTGCAATAACTATTCTGAATACTGATCTCGCCACCGAGGCGTCCCATTGGGAAATTCAGCGGGGGCGGGGCTCGAGGGGGCGGGGCTCGAGGGGGAGGGGCTCGAGAGGGAGGGGCTCTGGAGGGGGCTCTGGGGGGGGCCCTCCAGAGCCCAGAGAGTGGTGATGGAACGCATCCGGTTGACGTAGTCGCAATAGATTGGTGACGCAATTATTTATTTATTAACCAATCACCGTTTGGTGGCGAAAGGCATGGAGGGCGTAAGACGACTTCCGTGTTGGTGAAGATGCCTCGCACCGAGTCGGAGGCTTTCGCGACCAATATCCAGAACAAACGATGACTAAAGTTTGTGCACGTAAACAAATTTTGACAATTAGTTATAAGTGCTTCAACACACCCGTGCTGGTAGGGTTTAATGACGCATTTATATATTTGCGCGATCTTTGCTCTGGGTAAAGATGTCTGTTTTCTCCCTCCCTCTCTTAGCCGTGAGTTCGATGCGGTAGTTAAACCACATGGTGTAAAAGTGCTGAGTCGACCTAGAGGAGGCCCGAGACCGGTTCAGATAATCGTCACTGGTGTTGGCCGTGAGCGGGAATCGAACTCGGGTCGCCGGGTTCATAGCGCAGCGCACTAACCGCTACACTACCTCTCCCCACCCCACACACAAACACAAGCTAACACACACCCACTGACACAAGTTGACAAAGATCCCCCGTATAGCCTGAGCAGACTTTGGGGCAAGTGCTGTTGGCGAGCACCTATGACGGTCAGCACGGTACGCGAAAGGGTGGGTGGCCAGCACCGCCTTTGTCTCCCCGATTGCGATGTTTATACATTGCACAAGGTACTCAGTTTTGGATAAGTCGACATCGTGTAGGACACACACACAAACTGCACAAACAGACAGACACACAGACAGACACAGCACGAATACACAAACAGACAGACACACACAAACTGCACCACCGTTCTCAGTACAGACGTGCCCGCAGGCACGAACAAACAGACACACAGGCAGACACACACACAGACAGACACAGCACGAATACACAAACAGACAGGCACACAGACAAACAGATACATAAAAGTAAAACTGGCTGCCATGCAAATACCCGACACTACGTACGTACAAAGATCCCCCGTATAGCCTTAACAGACTGTTGGGGGCAAGTGCTGCTAGCGGGCACCTATGAAGGCCGGCACGGCACACACACCGCACCAGGTACTAATTTGAGTCTGAGTCGACCTAGGGGAGGCCCAGGACCGGTTACACAGACACACACACGCGCAGAGACACACAGATAAAGACAAAGATCCCCCGCATAGCCTTAACATACTGTAAGGGCAAGTGCTGTTAGCGAGCACCTACATTCAGACACACGCACACATATATATATACACGCGCAGACACACAGATAAAGATAAAGACAAATATCCCCCGTATAGCCTGAACATAATGTAGGGGCAAGTGCTGTTAGCGAGCACCTATATATCAACACATACATATAGACACACGCACACACACACACACAGAAAATTACCTTTATGCATCTGGTTCTCCTGCTTCCTGCACTTGGCGCGCCTGTTCTGGAACCAGACCTGGGACACGCGCAACAAGAGGAGACGATGAACCGCCTCGAGCACCCTCCCCCACCTCCCCCCCCACTCCTCGCCTGTCTTAAATCAGATCGAATCAAACGCGCGCCCCTAAGTATCCGCGAATAAATAAATCAGACATTATCATGCGCGCTCGGGTTGGGCATATATCAATGCTGGCGCGGCATGCGGGCTTGTGTTAATCACACGAGAGACTTTAATCAATAATGCATGCCGCTGCTGGCTTTATTGATGCCGACCGACCGCCTCATCCCGCGTACATTGAGCGATGCAATTTGAAAGCGCCTGACATTTACCCAGAGAGCGGCCGTGGTGTTCCCATTGTTGAGGCGTTCCGGGACCGAAACGAGCGGGCAATGATTCCGATTGAAGGGGGGTTATACGGGCCGGTGATGACTTTAAACATTTTTGTTGGTATTTTTTTTTCTTGAGCAATTTTTCGTTTTGTATTTTTTTGGGCTTGTTTGCCAGGTGTAAGGCCCGCTCTGAGCTACGCGTTGCTCTCTTTTTTTTTTCATAAGCGAACTGGTTGATCACAAATGGTGGTTCAACGAAGTGGCTTATCATTTATGGGGGGAAGATTTATAGCAACCCGTGGTGTTCATTCTAAATGTGGAGTGGGGGGGGGGGGGGGGGGGGGGCGGACCCCAGGAGGATCCGGAGAAAAATCCACGCCACCACGGGGAGAGCGAAATATCCAGACTCCAAATATACAGCAGCAGGTGTCAGGGTCGGGATCGAACCCACGACCTCCTGCATACCGCGCGAGGTAGTTAACATCTCGCCACCATGGCGAAGGGCGTGATGGTGAGAGGCGGTGTTGTAAGTGGTGGTGGTGGTGGTGGTGTTATTGGTGGTAGGTCGGGCTGGTAGTAGTCGTGGTGGTGCTAGCGACGGCGTTATAATGCAAGGTTGGTGGTGTAAGCGGGCCTTCGCCAGTGACTGTCATGGGCCCTGCTGTAGGAAATTAAACGTGGCCCGTCTACAATTCCTCATCGCCCTCTGCACACCCCCCACCCCCTCCCCCAACACTCTGGGCCCCGACGCAGTTGCACAGCCTGCACACTCGACAGCTCCTCCACGGCACGGAGCATGACCTTCGTGAAACGTGATCACTCAACTCGCTCCCCTCCTCCACCCCCACCCGCTAAAAGTTGATTAAAAATTTAAGAGTCGACAGTTGCTGCTGCTGCTGCTACTGCTGCTGCTGATTGTCGCGGCGGCACTACAGATATCCGCAGCGGATAATTGTTGTTCTGTTGTTGTTGTTGAACAGCGGCTCGCTCCGATGGGAATTCTTCTTTCACGATGTATGATTGGGAAAAAAACTCGCCATGATCGTGGTGATGATGAAGATGATGATCATGATTTAGGCGAAGGTGCCGATGATGTTGCGTGATCGTGAACACGCGCCTCGTGTAACATTGCACGCAGCGTCGACGATTATGATGATGACGATGATGGTGGTGGCGATGGTTTGATGCTTTTGCTACTGATGATGACTTTGAAGCTGCTGATGACACTGCTGTGGCTGCTAATGACCTTACACTACCAATGATGATACCGCTAATGATAACTGATGATGCTGATGATGTTGCTGATGATGCTGATGATGATGCTGATGATGATGCTGGCTGTACCTGCACTCGAGCCTCGGACAGTCCGAGCCTCTGGCTCAGCTCCTCTCGCATGAACGCGTCGGGGTAGTGCGTCTCGTCGAATAGACGTTCCAGCTCATTGAGCTGCTCCAGGGTGAAGTTGGTGCGACTGCGGCGCTGCTTGAGCTTCGCTTGGCCCTCCTCCTCCTCGGCCCTCGACTCCTCCCGCCGCTCCTTCGAGTCTGAGAGAGACGGGGGAGTGGGAGAGACGGGAGAGTGAGAGACGGGAAAGTGGGAGAGTGTGAGACCGGAGAGTGCGAGATACGGGAGAGTGGGAGAGAGGGGAGAGTGGGAGAGACGGGAGTGTGGGAGAGTGACAGACGGAAGAGTGGGAGAGAGACGGAAGAGTGGGAGAGAGACGGGAGAGTGGGAGAGAGACGGGAGAGTGGGAGAGACGGGAGAGTGGGAGAGACGGGAGAGAGAGATACGGAAGAGTGGGAGCGTGAGAGACGGGAGAGTGGAAGAGAGACGGAAGAGTGGGAGAGTGAGAGACGGGAGAATGGGAGAGAGACGGGAGAGTGGGAGAGAGACGGGAGAGTGGGAGCGTGAGAGACGGGAGAGTGGGAGAGGGACGGAAGAGTGGGAGCGTGATAGACGGGAGAGTGAGAGACGGGAGAGTGGAAGAGAGACGGGAGAGTGAGAGACGGGAGAGTGGGAGAGAGACGGGAGAGTGGGAGAGAGACGGAAGAGTGGGAGAGTGAGAGACGGGAGAGTGAGAGACGGGAGAGAGACGGGAGAGTGGGAGAGAGACGGAAGAGTGGGAGCGTGATAGACGGGAGAGTGGGAGAGACGGAAGAGTGGGAGAGTGAGAGACGGGAGAGTGGGAGAGTGAGAGACGGGAGAGTGGGAGAGTGAGAGACGGGAGAGTGGAAGAGAGACGGGAGAGTGGGAGAGAGACGGGAGAGTGGGAGAGTGAGAGACGGGAGAGTGGGAGAGAGACGGGAGAGTGAGAGACGGGAGAGAGACGGGAGAGTGGGAGAGAGACGGGAGAGTGGGAGAGAGACGGAAGAGTGGGAGAGTGAGAGACGGGAGAGTGGGAGAGAGACGGAAGAGTGAGAGACGGGAGAGTGGGAGAGAGACGGGAGAGTGGGAGAGAGACGGGAGAGTGGGAGAGTGAGAGACGGGAGAGTTGAAGAGAGACGGGAGAGTGGGAGAGGCACGGGAGAGTGGGAGAGTGGGAGAGAGACGGGAGAGTGGGAGCGTGATAGACGGGAGAGTGGGAGAGACGGAAGAGTGGGAGAGACGGGAGAGTGTGGAGAGAGACGGGAGAGTGGGAGATAGACGGTAGATAGTGGGAGAGACGAGTCTGTGCGTGAAGCGGGGAGAATGTAGGCGTGAGAGATGAATGTAGTGGCACCCCCCCCCCCACTTCCCTGCTTACGAGTGACTACGTCGGCGTGTCTTTCACGTGCAAGTTGTGCGCCGAAATGTGTTTAGCAATGTCCCGTGGCGGGACTCGAACCACGTTGCCCGTGACCTCGGTGGCGATGGAGTCCGGCGACAACACACCGTCGAAATATGCGGCCAATTCAAGGGAGACTTTGCCTAAACTTCAACATCAACGGAAGCTACGCAGCTTTGAGCCTGCTGGGTAGTTGAACGCCTTACCCAGAATGCCAGGTACTATCGGCTCGGGCTGAGAGGTGGCCAGGGCATGGCAGTACAGCAGCGGATTCGTGAATCTATCTGCGCGGATCTTTAAGTGTGTGTGTCTCTCTCTCTCCCTCTGGGTTTTGTTCCCGCAATTTCCCTTATCCCTCCCGTAAGAAAGCAAACTCACAATTATTATTTGATGGAATTGGACAAATATCCCCAATGTGGGAGCAGGACCCTCGTAAACATTTGAGACTCATCCAGGGAGGTTTTTTTTTTACCTCTTCTTCTGAATAAATAAGCAAGAGACGACGCTCGTATTATATACCAAGGAGCTATTGACCTCGATATTTCAACAAGAGTCACAAATGCACCGTGTGGTGAAAACGAGACACTGTGATCGCTTAATAAATAAGGGGCCGACCATAAATGACGTCACGCGATTTTGGACGATTTTTGACCCCCCCCCCTCGTCACACGGCGTCACAAAAAGTCAGACCCCCCCCTCAAATATGACGTCACAAAGCTCTGCCCCCCCCCCCAAACCATATTTCCATTTTGTAAATAAAACATGCTTCATATCGCTTTAAACTATTGTCATTGTAGTGCGTATTTAATGTAGCGCTGCACTCTGATGTTGTAGGAGAAAACATTTATTAAAAAGTCTATTTAATTAAGTAGAACGTGTTGTCTATATTTATTTAAAGTTGCGCATTTTGATGTGACGTCACATTTCTCAAACCCCTCCCCCCCCCCCCTTCGTCACACATCGCCACAAATGTCTGCCCCCGCCCTCTCCCAGGTGCGTGACGTCATTTATGGACGGCCCCAAACTAGCATGAAGTGGCACTGAAAGAGACGCACATGTGCCGGACCCCCTGATGTCGATGGACACTACCTACAGCGATTCTACGATACAATCAGCCCGTGCATTCGAACCGTTATGCTACCAGGTGAACGGTAGGGTAGCGGTTAGCGCTACGCTGCGCTACGAACCTGGCCACCCGAGTTCGATTCCCGCTCACGGCCAGACGCCTGTGACGATGATCTGAGCCGGTCCTGGGTCTCCCCTAGGTCGACTCGGCTTCAAATGAGTACCCGGTGCGTTATGGGAACATCGCCACTGGGGGAGACATAGGCGGTCGGGCGTGGTGCTGACCGCCTACCCCCTCGCCTTCATAGGTGCTCGCTAACAGCACTTGCCCAAACAGTCTGTTACAGGCTACACGGGGGATCTTTGTCTTTGTACAGTCTGTAGGGGCAGTGACGTGGTCTGGTTGTAAGCGCGTGGGCTGTGCGCACGCGCACTCGACACTCACCTTCCGGATTATAAGACGCACCCCCGATTTTTTTTGTTTTTTAAATCCACGACGGGGAAAATGCGTCTTATGATCAGGTTATATTTTTTTTTTGTTCGTTACTTTACTTTGTTCCAATCACAGTGGGCTCTGACGCGTGGCTGTTGAGTAAATTAAGTTCCGTCGATTTCCATCACCGGGACGCGTCTCCTGTGGCACGCGCGACACCGAATTTCTCGCGCTCTCGATGGTCCCCGTATTGTTGAACTTCTTTCGCGCCGTACTAACCAACCGTGCCCAAATCGGGACTCGAGTAAGCTCACGGGTCTATTCACGCCGAATCCGTGAGCCATCATCAGCCATGATCATTCCACTGCCGTATTAGACTTTACTCCAGTGTACGAAACAAACACATCGCACAACACATTCGTAAATAGCGCTGCGGCTTTGAAATGAATCCACAACAATATATATGTGTGCGCGTACAGTATACATCATACTCCTGTGTAGTAGTCTCTTTTTCACGACAATGATGCAGCCTGTCTGTGAGTGTGATGCAGCCACGTTGATATTTTGATCCGTAAGTATGATGCAGCATGATGCTATTGTGCGGACTGTTGGTATGATGCGGTCTATTAAGCATGATGCGGAATGTTGGTATGATATGGTCTGTTGGTATGATACGGTCTGTTAGCATGATGCGGCTTATTGGTATGATGCGGTATGTTGATATGATGCGGTATTTTGGTATGATGCGGATTGTTGGTATGAAGTGGCTTATTGGTATGACGCGGTATGTTGGTATAATGCGGTTTGTTGGTGTGATACGGTCTATTGGTGTGATGCGGCTTATTGGTATGATGCGGTCTATTGGTATGATGTGGTCTATTTGTATGATGCGGTCTGTTGGTATGATACGGTATGTTGGTATGATGCAGTCTATTGGTGTGATGCGGTTTGTTGGTATGATGCGGTCTGTTGGTATGACGCGGTCTGTTGGTGTGATGCGGTCTGTTGGTGTGACGGGGTCTGTTGGTATGTCAGCATTGGGGAGACAAAGGCGTCCGCGCGTGGCGGTGCTGTTGGCCCTCGTGTGCCGTTCTGACATTGCTCAATAGATCCACTAACAGCACTTGCCCCAACCGCCTGTTAAGGCTACACGGGGAATCTTTGTCTGTGCGTGTGTGTGTGGTTAGCGCGCTGCGCTACGAACCCGGCGACCCGAGTTCGATTCCCGCTCACGGTTAACACCCAGTGACGATTATTTGAACTGATCCTGGGCCTCCCCTTGGTCGACTCAGCCTCAAAACGAGTACCTGGTGCGGTGTGTAAAAACATCGCCACTGGGGAGACAAAGGCGGTCGGGCGTGGTGCTGAGCACCTACCCCCTCGCCTTCATAGGTGCTCGCTAACAGCACTTGCCCCAACAGTATGTTAAGGCTACACGGGGGATCTTTGCCTCTTTTTTTCGTGCAACCGAGCAAATGGCTCAGCGGGTCGAGCAAGCGGCTGGCAATCTGAAGGTTGCGAGTTCGCACCCTCGTTTTGTGCGTTAACTCAGCCCATCATCCTTCCGGGACCGATAAAAAAATAAATCTACCCCTTTGTAGGGTTTGTCAACAACGCTGCATGTCCTGTCGATAGACTCGCTCCTCACCAGAGGAATGTGGAATTTCCACCACTGAGCTCTACAGGGAACGGATGATCATTTGAGCAGGGCATTGCTTCAGCCTCTGCGTGCGTGTAGTGCATTGTGTCTGGTGTCAATCTTTAATTGAAATGCAATCGCCTATTGATAATTAATCAGAAACTATTCCCAGCCATGGGGCGTCAATTAACATCAATGAGAGAACCACGTGATATCGCTCCAATGAAGTTATTGAATTAGAGCTAAACGCGTGTAATTTATAGCCCACTAATTAATAGACTGTTATCATTTCTCGATCAATCTTGGCTTAAAGCTTTGGTGACTGCAGGAATTCATATTCTTTGGGTCTTTCGGTAAAGTCACGTAGATAGGTTCAAATTAATAAAAAATAAAATAAGCAAAAAAAACTATGACGTTTTGATCGCAACCCATGGTACCTGGGTCTGTCCCTTGACCTCCTGCCAGCGGGATTTCGACACTTCATGTGGCCTAAACGTGCACATAGCCTGGCACAAGTGCCGTGATGACGTCACCTCCACTTAGTGGCGAATGGAGGTTGTTGCTGTGTCTGGGGAGCGGTAATGTAGCGGTGAGCGCGTTGCGCTACGAACCCGGCGACCCGAGTTCGATTCCCGCTCACGAC